AAGTCTAGTTGAATATTCTTAATTTGCAGAGTTGCACTTGCATGTAATGCTACCTTGATTAATAAATACTTGACAACATAAATGGTAAAAGCTATATTATTATGGAGACATTAATTTGACAGTCAAAGTTTGGCTGTATTGTAGCTCTGTAATTTGAAAATTTAAATACTTAAAATCAACGAGACTATATCGTGATAATATCGTGTATCGTAATATTTCTAGAAAATATCGTGATACTTTTTTTTTTTTTTTTTTCTATATCGCCCACCCCTACTGCCACCTTAGTTATTCTTTTCTCTGGAACATGGCACTGGTGTGTGTGCCTTGAAGATTGTATGAATGTCACTCCTATAATTGGCCACAACATTTTTCATTGTTAGCCTGTTGTGAAATGTGGAGCAGCATTGGATGATGTCAGTCACCTCTAAAGGCAGACGAGGTGTAGCATGAGCCAAGGTGGTGCAACCACAAGTTAAACTTGTAGTGGAATCTGGTGTGTGTGGTTCCACTTGTGTCTTGTCCATTAATTAATGTCACAGAAACACGACCTGCTTTCTCCTGCACCTGCTGCTTGAAAGTCATGACACAAAGCCTTCTTGTTTGATGAAATGTTTTTTTTTCCCCTACTTGTCATTGTGCTGCTTGCATTCAGTCTTATAGATATTCAAATTGGTCTGACTGAGCTCAAAAAAGAGATAAGCTGAACATTTGCAATCATCCAAATATAAGTTTGGACTCTAAAAATACATGCAGGTCAGGGAGCGGAGACTCTTCTGATGCACCCACATGTGGGCCTGGCTCGAGCAGGAGCGCTCGTACTCCTGCTCTCTGCCTGTTTCTCACTGTCAAGGCCATCTGTCACAACACACACACTTAGCTCTGCACACTTGCTTATCTCTGCATTCTTCTCATCTCTGCATCTCTGCAGGTTCTTAAACTCAGTAACTTCTTTATAACAAAAGCTTAGCAGTCTTGTTCCATAGCTGTTAAAAACACAGGTAGTCCTACTTATTTGGTGAGTCAGAGATGTACGAGGCACCTTTGTGCTTTCTTTTTTGAAAAGGCTGGATTTACACAGGCATACAAAATGTCCATTTCCTTGACCCTTCCCCGATCAGATATCTATCCAAACATAATTGCTATGGGATTTCCAGCAGAGAGACTCGAAGGCGTGTACAGAAACAATATAGACGATGTAGTACGGTGAGTTGCGATGCTTCTGCTATTGGATTTCAGAAAAGTGGAAGACAAAATGTGTTTTATGATAGAAAGCTTGTGTTTATCCTCTGGAAGATGACCTTGTTTGTTGAGCTAATAAATATAATCTCTGTCTGTGTATGTTCCCTCCTGAAAACAGGTTTTTGGATTCAAAGCATAAAAACCATTACAAAATCTACAACCTGTGAGTGTTCTACATATTTTTCCCTGCCTGAACTGCTTTTAGTTTACTTGCTATTCTGTGTGATTGCTAACAGGATTTTGTTCTTTTTTTAGCTGTGCGGAAAGACACTACGATGCTGCCAAATTTAACTGCAGAGGTATGTTGATTTACATGTTCTCTTAAAAACAAACAAACAAAAACAAGTTGAACATGGTTGCTAAAATCTCTACTGTGTCTTCTACCCATCTTGTCTCATCTGGACTGTTCTTTGTCCACATTTCTTTCCTCTCTTGTTTCTACTTTGCGTGGGCCTGCATCCCGTCACACATCAGTTGCACAGTACCCCTTTGAAGACCACAACCCCCCTCAGCTGGAGCTAATTAAACCGTTTTGTGAAGACCTGGACAAGTGGCTCAGCGAGGATGACAATCACGTGGCGGCAATCCACTGTAAGGCTGGAAAGGGCCGCACTGGAGTCATGATCTGTGCGTATCTCCTCCATCGACGCAAATTCCACGAGGCCCAGGAAGCGCTCGACTTTTATGGTGAAGTCAGGACAAGGGACAAAAAGGTGAGATGTTCATCAGAGACCAAATGTCTAAACACAGCAGCTCTTTATCAGTTCGAACAGTTACTGCAAATAGGCTGGTAATAGATTATTTTAATTTTCAATTAGCCTGTTGAATATTTTCTTCATTTTTTTGGTCTAATATCAGGAACAGGTGAAAAATGTCTGTTAACACTGTTGTCCCAGAATCCAAAAGTGTTCCATATGTAATGGTATAAACCAGAGCAAAGCAGAATATACTGAAAAGATTTGGCCTTTTTATATATATTTTTTTTATTGAAAAGCGACTGAGCTAGTTGTCTTATTATTGAAAATAGCTGCCAGTTAACACTCATTTTCAGCTTTCATATCAGACCCTTGAACACATACAGAAAAGGAACATTACTTGTACATTCATTATCCCTAAATGTTGTAACCATTGTTGCAGGGAGTAACGATCCCGAGCCAGCGCCGCTACGTCTACTACTACAGCTACCTACTCAAGAACCAGCTAGAGTACAAGCCGGTGGCGCTCCTCTTCCACAAAATGGTGTTCGAGACTCTCCCCATGTTCAGCGGGGGCACCTGCAGTGAGTCATGCTCATGTTCAACTTCAACTCCAAACTAGGGCGTAGGCATGCATGCTGCTGTTCAAATGGAGCGAGAGCCTTGGATGTGTTGTGCACTGCAGGGCTTACCCACACTACAGTTTGGCACCACAGAACAGAGCAGGTCATTATGGGAGAGCTAAGTCGTCCACTGCTGGAGTTTTAAAACGGAATGTGTGTGGTTGAATTTGCTGCACTATTTTTGGACCTTGTGACTAACAAGGGCAGCTTCTTATTAAGTCATCTTGTTGTTGCTTACAACAAGGCCAATTTACACTAAATGAAGACACAAAAACAGATTGATGGCACTGAGACCTCCAAACTCTCGCAAAGTTGAGCAAGGAGCTGTTATTGAGTATGAAGTATTGGAGCCATTATTTTAATGTTGCTAGCTTCCCCAGAACAAATATTTGTACTTTAATTTGCTAATATTTCTTTGCTATATTCAAAGAAATGACAGCATGCGCAGTGTAGACACTGTAGAGCATTCATAGCCCCTCATGAGGGACGTAACGGTGCTCCCATACAGTAGAAGACCTATAAGAATGAGTTTTATGTGCTTCTATAGACATGTAACCAGGAAACAACTAAAAGTCAATATAGGAGTTACAGATTTTGGTCAACACAGCGTTAATAAGTCACTGTAGTTAGAGTTTAGTCGGTCACATGTATTTACATATTAGTGAGTGTGTGTGTGTGTGTGTGTGTGTGTGTGTGTTCAGGGTGGTATGACTTTGTTGTAAAAACGGTGTGTAGGCAAACAGTTGCTGTCCCGTGTTCAGTGGCAGAGGGACACGGACACAAAGCAATGCTTGATTTTTAAATGTGCATCAGTAATGATTTAAAATATCATCTGTGAAATATCTGTGTCAATAACAATCGGTTTTTCTTTGACTTTCTGCATTTAGAGTAGAAAGGATTTCTTTCCCCCACTGATCGTGTCCTCATTTGCTCAGCATGTTAGCACTGTGTTCAGATGTATGTATGCACATTTTAGTGGTTTAAAGTGCTCCATTTATATGGCATTAAGAGGCAAAAAAGTCCAAAATCCTGTGTGGTTTTGTTTGTTTTTGTTTCTGTTTTTTGCTCAATTGTGTCTGTCACACAACATTGGGCTTTTCTTGCATCTGAATCTGTTGGTTAGGAGAAGTGCCTCTTCTTTGTCATCTTCTTCATTTCTGTGGCTTTTTCACCCTAACACCTGACTGTGCTGAGCAGCCCTGATTTTATTGATCTTTCTTTCTTTCTAACTCACCAAACAAGCCCCTATTCTGAGTTTGACGTCCTAGAATACACACACATCACCCTCTTCTCCAGCCTCTGGTTTTAGCTCACCACAGCAGTAAGAAAAGCTGGTTTGATTAATTCTGTTACAAATAACCCAAAGTTTCACATTTCTTAAAATCAGAGAACTTCAGTGTTTTGTGATCATGTGAAATTTTTAGCAATCTTAAGTTTCCCCTTTGTTCCTTCTCCTTTGTGTATCTCACAACTCATTAGATCCCATGACATATGTATAAGATACGCACTTCCACTTTAAAGCCACATATTATGTTGTTTTTAAGAAAAGCTGTGTCGATGCAGGTATCTGTAAAAACTTGTGCAGAGCTCTTGTGTTTGTGCCTGCTGTGCTGTCAAGCCCCTTACAGGCCAGCCAGGCCCTGTTTGTGATAATCTCCTTCTTTCTCTCTAAGGGGACAGTACCGTTAAAAACAGGAGCGAGCCGACCCCTCAGGGCTTCAAGAAAGGGAATTGGCATTGGGGTAAATGAGCCTTTCATCCATTACTATCATTTCACTCATTTGCTTTTATATGGCCCCAGAGATCCACCAGGCAGGAGCAGTCTGAGGTAGACATGTTGCCTAGCATGAAAGCACTAGCTTACGGGCATATGAAGTCATCTCCAGAACCAACCCCACCCTGGCAGGAAAAAGGAAGGGTTATTATTTTTTCTATATGCATCGTGTTGCTTTGGTCCAAGACCAAAACAATGAGTGTCTGTCAGAATAGGCTCCTATGTCTCTGGTTCTGGGTCTCTTTGGATGTTATATTTTGTGATCTGTAACTTTCCCTTTCTCCTCCTTAATTACAATATAATGGTTTGAGACTTTTTTTTTTTTTTGCACTTTATCAGTGGGAGGGGGGAGGTGGTGGTGGTGGTGGTGTGCTGTGCTGTTTCCTTGGTCAAACTCGTGTTAATAACACTGGTATCCTGTCTTGCACTCTTTGATTCACCCCCTGCTCCTCTGTCACTCACTCTTCCTCTTATGTTTTCTGTCTCTTCTTCACAAATCTCACAATCTTGCCCATCCCTCCCTCCCCCCCCCTCCCTCGGTGCAATGTCAACACTTTCTTGCAGATCCCCAGTTCGTGGTGTACCAGCTGAAAGTGAAGATTCACACGTCGAACCCTACTCACACACGACGTGAGGACAAGCACATGCTTTTCGAATTCCCCCAGCCGCTACCGGTTTGTGGAGACATCAAAGTGGAGTTCTTCCATAAACAGAATAAGATGATGAAGAAGGTTGGTTGTGTGTGTTTGTGTTCAGGGGGTTTCACTGTTGTTCCATCCTTGTTGCTGATAACTTTGTCATTACGACCTTACAGCTGTTGATTGTTGAAGTCAAAGAATAGTAAGTAGGCACTTGAATAAGCAGTTTTCACTGCTGGATGCTGGCCATACTGTGTGTTTTAAACATTTATATTCAATAAATCCCATGAAGAGGCCAAATTTTTAAGGGTTTTTACTGTTACCAGAACCTGGTAATGATTTCCTTGTAGCAGAGACCTAGTTTGATGCCCAAAGACTAGTAAAAACACACCGGTGAGCCACACACTGTTGCACTGCGTGACATATTCCTTCATTACCTTGAACATGGACACCAGTTTATTTTGAGTATATCCCACATTCACTGTCTGCTGCTGTAAATACTTGTTAATGCACCAAATGTGTATTAATCCACAGCTGAAAATAGTCTCCAGCAAATGCCCTGTTTGCTCCTGTTTGAGTAATATGTGCTCAAATCTACAGTAGCTAAATGCTTAGTCATTTCCAAAAGCAGCTGGATATTTTAGGATGTTGCTCAGCCTTTTTTGTGAGCAGTCCTTAAAGATTTATATCTTGAGTAGAAACAAATGGGATCAAGGCTGTGTGTGCAGATGAGGTAGTGATGTCGGGAAGTGTTGATAAACCCTAATACATTGTTGATTTTGGTTGTTTAGATTTGTTGAGAGTAAGAATAATATAGAGTAATGCCAGCCGTAGGCAACGGGACTAAGCCCATAAACAAATTTAACCAGAAATTCTTTGAATAAACTTTTTCTTTTTTGCCCAGTCTGTCATTACATCTTCTCTCATCACCTCTGCACTCCAGGACAAAATGTTTCACTTCTGGGTGAACACCTTCTTCATCCCTGGACCAGAAGAGAGCGGGGACAAGATGGAGAACGGGGCAGTGAACAATGCAGAGAGCCAGCAGGGAGGACCGGGACCTGACCAGGGCCAGCCACACAGTGCCGAGGTCAGGCAAAGCGACAGGGATTATCTCATCCTGACTCTCACTAAGAACGACTTGGACAAGGCCAACAAAGACAAAGCTAACCGCTACTTCTCGCCAAACTTCAAGGTGAGCAGTGACAGAAGCTGACAAGAGTTAGTCGAGTTCAGATATTGGATAAATGAAATAATTACACGCAAGTCTACTATTGAGTTGCTTTGCTGTTAAAATAGTATTTTTACCCATGAATCTTGGTATGGAAAGAACAACAGAGACTTGTTTAGCATTGTTTTCACTGTACAGACTAACGTCAGTTGTCTTAAATTTGCAATTCCAGGTGAAGTTGTATTTTACAAAAACCGTGGAGGAGCCTTCAAATTCTGAAGCAAGCACTTCAACATCTGTCACACCGGACGCTAGCGACAATGAGCCAGACCATTATCGATACTCTGACACCACTGACTCTGATCCGGAAAATGAACCTTTTGATGAAGAGCTGCACACGCAAATCACAAAAGTGTGAACTCTTTTTAAACAAGGAAGAAATTATACACCATAAAAAGGATAAAACTTGAATATAAACTCAAAAGAAGAACCTTGGTCTCTTCCCTCCCCCAAACGGCAATAGAATATCATCATGTCAAATGCCAATTTTAGGGAAAAAAAGATAAATGTCCTGACCAATATTTCTTTTTCTTTTTTCCTTTGGCACAGCCATGTACCATGTGCGAGGTATTGACCCTGTTGCCCCATGGGAAAAGGTGCTGTAGCTATAAAAATGTGTTTATATATTTATATACATACTGTATATAAGTTGTTGTGTCTAAGACAATGGAAAGAGTACCACAATCAGGAGACGGGAGTTGAAGTGTGGGAGAAGTTAGAATGATATACTAGGACTATGCTGCTCCTTCTCCTGTCTAAACCAAGGCCAGTGCTGCAGTCACTTTGTTTCACTCTCTCTGCCTCCTCCACCCCTGCCTCCTCATCTTTTACTCTCCCTCCTTCCTATCCTCCTCTACTGTGAATGCTTCTTGTGCTCTTTGCAGGCTGTCTCATGTGACTTTTGGCCTTTGTGCAGTGCAAACTGCATGCAGGCAGTGGGTTGTGGGTGGGCAGGGTTATGAAGAGGCTGTGATGATGTCTAAAGCATTGCCATTCCTGTTCCCACTGTGTATACGTTAAATTATGCAGAACGAGGCATCCAATGTAATTGTTAATGTTTTTTTTATTCTAAGATAATAAAAATATAATACACAAAACAGCAGGGAGATAAGTGTTTGCAATAATGTCAACACTACATTTAAAGGACATTGGTGACTTGCATGTATTTGAATTGGCGTCCATCCCTAATAAATGTATGCAATGTTGTCTTTTCTTAAAGAAACCAGCTTTGAGATGTCTCTTCTGCGGGGGGAGGGGGGTTCCCCAATGCTTTAAGTGGTGCTCAAAAAATTACATAAGTTTAATGCAATCTTCTCCCCTTGCTGTTCACCGCTACCGGAAATCCCACAGAACGAGAATGAATATGCATTTGTCATCGCACAGCGAGGTCAGTGTGGTCTTTAACCTGACACTATTGCTGTTAACCGAACTCATAGTTCTAAGTGACAGCACCCAGGCTCTGTAATTTAAACTCAAGCATGTCAGGTGGAGCACGTGCAGCAAGTCAGGGAGGAAAATGTGCACAAGTGACGCGCTTGATGAGAAAAATGTTGTAAAGCAGGTTGTTGCTGCAGCTGCTGGATCTGTGTTAACAGTAACTTCCTGCTTTAAAGGTCAGCGCTGCAAATAGCGGGTGGGACCTGACATAGGGAAGTGATGGAAGGATTATTAAAAGTTGAGCTGAGGGCAAAGAACCCACTTCAAATACTGAGCTGCATCTACACTGACGGCAGTTTGTGTGAGAGAAAAGGCTTCAAATATGTCGGTTAGCTATCATGCACAGTTTTGGAGAAGTATAGCAGTGTTTTGCTTTTGTTCAAACTTGACTGGTAACAGTTTTTTGTTTTCATAGATGGTGAATTTGAATTGTTTTGATATTTGTGCCAATTCTATTTCTTGAATTGATGTCAAACTGTCCTCTGAACCCTGATAAAAGCATTTGCATTTAAGAGTCAAAAGCAGCCTGACCTCATACCAAACTGGCAGTGTTGCATGCAGAGTGGCTGCTGTTGGTTAATCAAGGCGTTCTCCACATGAAATGAGCAGAGGAAGGAAAGGCTACCAGCCCAGGAGGGAGGAGCACAAGACCTCTGGTAGACAAGCCTGCTCTGCGTGCAGGCTTATGTGACTCCCCAAATGAAAGAATAACAGGATTTATGACCATGTCACTGTGATAGGAAAGCAAAGTGGCAAGACCCTGGCTAAAGTATGGCCCAAAGTCTCCTGATGATAAAATAAAGTATGAATTAAACATTTTTTAAAAGCGTTCCACCCCCAGAGGCAGACATAATCCTCTTCTGCTCTCTTTCGTGTTGATAGAGACATCAAAGCCAACCAGTGCAGCGTCAAATGAGACCGGCAGCAGTCGTGGGGACCCAGCTCTAATTGGCTGAGCTGAGTAGGAGGGAGAGACTCTAGTAGATTAATAATGAATGTGTTGTGCTGGGTTGAGAAAGACCAGAGAGATGCCTCTGTTCTTCACAGGCACATGAGACAGAAGTGCACGAAGAGGGCTGACTTCAGTGGAGCTCAGGCTTCGGAATCCACTTCTTTGCTTCTGATTGCCCTCCTCATCACAGACAGCAGGAGCATCTGAAATATTAATTGATATACATCGTTAGCATTTTCCTCTATTATGTTGGTAATATATTAAAAGATAATGGTGCAATACGACAGTATTTTAGGTTGAGGCATGAAAAGAGGCATGATCCTCCACTTCTTCCAGTTAGCCTTGTGTTGCTCGTTAGTCCAGTATGGAAGCCAATTTCTGCCAGTACAAAAATGGACAATTAACCATTTTCTTTAGATACAACTGGAGGCCTTTTGTTAGATTTTACGTCAGTATTCAATACAATCCAGCTACATCTTACTGGCAAAAACTGATTAAACTAGGGGTTAATCTGCTTCTTGTACAGGACCATCTTATAAGTAGAGAAAAGATAGTTAAACAGATATATCCAACTTCCATAGTTACTAACTCAGGAGTGTCTCAGGATTGTATGAGATCACCTCTACTCTTCACGTGTTATACAGATGGTTGTGAAACTGATATTCAAAATATACTGTATATTGAAGTTTTCAGATGGTACCATGTTTTTCTTTGTTAGGCATTGAGGATGATCCTAGTATTGATCAGTAGATTGGTGGAGCAGTACCTGGGATATAATTGAACAAGTTACAAATGTGAATGCTTTACTTTGAGCTGTATATATGTTTTATATATCTGTAACAGGGTACAATAATGTATTTACTTTCTTAGGAGACAGTGGTTTTTGAAGCCAACACAGATAATTTTTCAATTTATAACAGTGTTATGCAGTATGGAATCTGATTAGTACAAATGTCTCTGTTCAGTTTAAAGCTGGACTGGTTATACTGCTGCGGATCTGCTCAACAGTTTATGGATCAGTGTCCAAGCTCCATAAGTACGTTGTCTCTGGCAATTATAAAAGTAATAAGTCAAAAATATGATACCAAATCAGAATGATAAGATTGAATGTTTAAAAAACTGGCTTAATTCAAAACGATGTTTTCACACCCTGAGCATTTTTTCCTCTGGTGAGTATGGCCTTCCATAGTCGATGCATCAAACTACTGTGAATGGGGAAAACGCTAACACCAAAACACAGAGATTTAAACATGGTATTATGACAAAATGAGGGGGTGGGGAATTGTGTGTGTTAAGGGGTCAGTCTGCCCTACGAAGAGAAGATAAACCCTAAACCCAAGCTGGTAACCCCATTTCCCTTCCATCTGTTGGTAGCAGTTACAGAGCATGGCTGCACTCACCAGGACCTGGCAACCCATCCCCCAAGCCCTCTTTCTATGGCTGACTGCACAGCTGTGTTGCGTTTGGATTAGGCCAAGAATAAAACAGGAAGTAGAAATTAAACAAAAGCTTAAACACACACACATACACACACACACACTCACACTCATTTACACAGGCACTGTAAGTTACAAAAGACTCAGAAGCAGCAGTACTAGTGTCAGCCAGTGGAAAAAGTGCACACACCCACACGTGTAGACCATCGTACTCACACAAAAATACACTCCAGTTTGAACAAAGTCATATTCTGCCTCCCACAGACTCACATAAGACCAGGCGGGACCATGGGTAAATAATTTTTCTGTGCCCACACTCTTGCTCATACATATGGTTTTTAAATGCTAAGTGCCTTTCTGCTTTCCTCTCATCTTCACGGTGGTCTCCTGTGGTGGCTGAGGGAAACTAGCAAACACGCTCAATCAGTCTCGGAGCATGCCAGTGTAATGATGCTAATAAGGAAGTATTTTGCCCGTGAGATGTCACGCAAACATAACAGTCACAACACAAATGACTATGAAAAATATAAAGACAACACAAGTTGCTCTAACTACTTGTGCGTTCACTCTGATTATCATGCAAGTTGGTTGAAAAGCCTTGGGTCATGAAAACCATGAGATGTAAAATCACTTCATTTCTTGCAAATTTCTTGAATTAATCCCATGAAACTTGGAATCCCATTCACCTTTTATTTACATCTGACTAGGATTACAGTATATAACTGGACTTTTACCTATTGTAATTTTGATCAATGATTTTTCTTGAGGTAAGAATCTTCTAGGTCACACATACATTAAGTGTTGGATTAATGAAAACATTTTAGTTCTTAAAAATAAAGTCATAATGTTTCTTTGCTGTGAACTTGGGCCCAATTTCAGCAAATCCTCTGCATGGTTTCTCTTTCTGTGTGAAAGCACCTAAATAGCCTGGTGACAGCACACAGGAACTGTGGTGAATGAGGAAATGGAATTGGGAAGAAGAAGTAGAAGGAGGTGTTTAGAAACATGTGCTGTAGCTACACATAGGTACTGAGCGGTTTAGCTAGAGTTAGTTTAGCTGGCAAGGTGCATTTGATGGAAATCCATTAAAGTTCTTCTTCCCTGTGAGCTGGGCCAATGGTTAATGAATGAATGGTAAATGTTTGCAGATGTTATTTTTATTGTGAAGACATGGGTCACGAGTCACACAAGCTCTGTTTCTGTGTGTTTGTTGACATGGATACCTTTGACAGACTGCTGTTTCCTGCAGTAAACCATACTTATTTCCTGTTTTCTGTATTTGCACTGCGTTGTGCTTGCTTCCAGATTGTTTAGGAATTAAACTCACTATTTTTTAGGTTCATCTGAATTTTTGAGTGATAACATACGCTTGCACCATTTAAAGCACTTGTTTTGCAGAAGTTCTTGCTAACTACCAAATTTAACTTGCTACTTTAGGTCGGCTAGTTTAGAAGCTAGATAAGCTAGTAGCTTAATCGAGAGCAATGGCTTCCCCCTCTTCCTCTCCTCCTTTCTCTTGCTCGGAGTGTCGCATTTTCAGTCATTCCTCTGCCTCCTTTAGCGATAATGGCACTTGTAATAAATGTCAGATGCTAGCAGCATTGGAGGCGAGGCTCCACACCATGGAGAATAGGCCAGCTAGCTATGCCCACGTAGCCGGTGTGGAGCCTCTTAAACGTAGCTTAGCCCAAGATAGCCGCCCCCCGCAGCTTCCCGAGCAGCTGGGATCTCAGACAGGTGGCTGGGTGACAGTTCGCAAGAGTCGTAGCTCCAAAC